TCCTCTTTCTTCTTTTTTTTTGTTTCTTTTTTTTTTGTTGGAGATGGTTTTGCCCTTGTGCCCAGACTGAAGTGCAATGGCGAGATCTCAGCTCACTGCAACCTCTGCCTCCGGGGTTCAAGCGATTCCCCCGCCTCAGCCTCTTGAGTAGCTGAGATTACAGGCGCCTGCCACCACGCCCGGCTATTTTTTAGTAGAGACAGGTTTCACCATGTTGGCCAGGTTGGTCTCGAACTCCTGATTTCGTGATCCGCACCTTGGCCTCCCAAAGTGCTGGGATTATAGACGTGAGCCACTGTGCTTGGTGGAATTTCTTATTTCTATCTTTTTCTTCTTGTTCTATTTATTTTTCTTTCCCTTTCTTTCTTTTTTATGATTAATTTGGTGGAGCAACACCATTTATTTCCAGGACCAGCACTGGATATAACACAGTGAATGGAAAAAAGCTGTCAGCACTAATCACTGTCACAAAAATAATCCTACAGAATCTGAAATGCCAACGAGAAGTCCAGCTCCACTGGGAAATACCTGTAAATCACAGGTCTTTCCATTTCAACTGATATGACAACAAGTTTCAGCTTTAATTATTTACCAAATTCCTGAGCCATCTTTAAAGTCTTGTGGGTTTTTTTGTTTGTTTGTTTGTTTGTTGAGACAGGGCCTTCTTCTGTTGCCCAGGCTGGAGTACAGTGGAGCAATGATCACTCACGGCAGCCTTGACCTCCGGGGCTCAAGGGATCCTCCTACCTCAGCCTCTGGAGTTAGCTGGGACTATAGGTGTGTGCCACTACACCCGACTAATTTTTGAATTTTTAGTAGAGACAAGGTTTCCCTATGTTGCCCAGGCTGGTCCCAAACTCCTGGGCTCAAGCAATCCTCCAGCCTTGGCCTCCCAAAAGTGTTGAGTTTACAGGCATGAGCCACCTTGCTTGGCAGATTAGTGAATTGGTCACTTTTTAAAAAGATTTTAAAAGGTATGATTTATGTAGCATAAAATTCATTTATTTTAACTGTACGATTCAATGATTCTTAAAGAAGTTTTCAGGGTGGGCACGGTGGCTCACGCCTGTAGTCCCAGCACTTTGGGAGGCTGAGGTGGATGGATCACTTAACGTCAGGAGTTTGAGACAAACCTGACCAATATGGTGAAGTCCCGTCTCTGCTAAAAATACAAAAATTAGCTGGGCATGGTGGCATGCGCCTGTAATCCCAGCTACTTGGGAGGCTGAGGCAGGAGAATTGCTTGAACCTGAGAGGCAAAGGTTGCAGTGAGCCAAGATTGCGTCACTCCACTCCACTACATCCTGGGTGACAGAACAAGACCCTGTCTCAAAAAAAAAATTTTTATCAGCCGGGTAGGGGGCTCACGCCTGTAATCTCAGCACTTTGGGAAGCCGAGGCAGGCGGATCGCTTCAGGTCAGGAACGAAACCAACCTAGATAACATGGCAAAACCCTGTATCTACTAAAAATACAAAAATTAGCCGGGCCTGGTGGCGTGCGCCTGGAATCCCAGCTACTGGGGAGGCTGAGGCAGGAGAATCGCTGGAACCTGGGAGACGGAGGTTGCGGTGAGCTGAGATCCTGCCACTGCACTCCAGCCTGGGCAACAAAGTGAGACTGTGTCTCAAAACAAACCGATCAAACAAACAAAAACATTATTATTCGTCAGAAGCCTCTTCATCACCTGGAACCTTGTGGACATCACTTATCCTTGGTAACTTCCCTTCCAGAACACCACTGTTATTGGCTGCTATGGTCTCAATGTGTTCCCCAAATTCATGTCCTGAAACTTCATGGGAATGCGATAGTCCTGAGAGGAGGGGCCTTTAGGAGACGATTAAGTCAGAAGAGCAGAGTCCCCATTATGGGATTAGGACTTTTATAAAAGGGATTCGGAGAGTCGCTCCCTTTTTTACCATGTGAGGACGCCTTGGCGGTGCTATCTGTGAGGAACGGGCCGTCCTCAGACATGGAACCTGCTGAGACCTTGATCTTGGACCTCCCAGCTTCCAGAACTGCGAGAACATACATTTCTGTTGTTAATAAATTGCCCAGTCTCAAGTACTTTGTTACAGCTGAGCAAACAGACGGAACATTAGCTTATTCCTTTTTACGATTTCTCTGCCTTCATGTTAACAGGCTCTCTGAAGGGAGGTGAGACAAAAATGTGTGATCCAGGAGGTCAGGAAATCGAGACCATCCTGGCTAACACGGTGAAACCCCGTCTGTACTAAAACTACAAAAAATTAGCCAGGCGTGGTGGCGGGCGCCTGTAGTCCCAGCTACTCGAGAGGCTGAGGCAGGAGAATGGCGTGAACCCGGGAAGCAGAGGTTGCAGTGAGCCGAGATGGCGCCGCTGCACTTCAGCCTGGGCCACAGAGCGAGACTCTGTCTCAAAAAAAAAAAAAAAAAAGAAAAACAAACAAAAAAACTGTGATCCAATTTTGTTGCTCTGAACCGAATCTCTTTAAATTTTATTTTATTTAAAACTATAGAGGCTGTATAGCCTCCCTCCCATTCCAGCGCAACACCAGCCTTTGCATGGGCTCTTTCTACTATCAGTTTTAAATAGAGAACGTTCTTGTTCTGTTCATGAAGGTTTCATAAATGCTGGAGTTCAGTCATAACTAGAACTTAACATATCCGTTCCATCACTGTATTTTTCCAGATCCCTGGTAAATCCATATCTCGGGTCTGGTGGGGCGCATGCAATTCCATACTTTGTCACAGGGGGCGCTGCGGAGAAGGGCAGAGCTGGGCGCGCGGTCCCAGAGAGCGCCGTGCAGGAGGGGGCGCGTCCGTGGGGCTGAGTCTGTGCTAGCCCTGCGCAACGTTGGGGGCGGGAACAACCCTGGCCCTGCGCCCGCGCGCTGCGGAGCCTCGTGATTGGAGGAGGCAACGGTCACTTGGCAGCGCCGTTGGGATTGGGGGAAGAGGGCCCCGGCTGTAGGTGACGCTGAGGCGGCGAGGGTGAGTGGGGCTGGCCGCTGCCGCACTTCGGGCGCTCGTCCCTCATTTCTCTGTGGTGAATGGCGACAGGATGGAGCGCGAGGGGAGCGGCGGCAGCGGCGGGTCGGCCGGGCTCCTGCAGCAGATCCTGAGCCTGAAGGTTGTACCGCGGGTGGGCAACGGGACCCTGTGCCCCAACTCTACTTCCCTCTGCTCCTTCCCAGGTACGGCCCGCCCCGCGCCTGCGCACTGCGCGCCCCGCCGTCGCCTCGGCAGGGCTGTGGGCGCCCCGAGTCTGGGCGGGGTCCCTGGTGCGCCGCCGACCTGCTGGGTGGGCGCTGTCCTCCTGGAGCTGGGTCCTGCTCCTTGTCCCGAGCCCCTTTCCCCGTCACTTCCTCGCCAGTCCCTGAGGCCGGGCCCCGGAGTCCCGCTGGGCGTGAGGTGCAGGGAACGGCCGCAGGTGGGCCCGGGACTGGAGGGCGCCCGGCCGCCACCCGAGCGGGTCAGGTTCAGAGCTGCACCCCACGAGCCCGGGAGGCGGTGGTGCCTGCCCTGCCTGGGTTGCCGCATGGCGCCCGGCCTCCTTCGAGGTGCCTCGGAGCGGCCCGGCCCGGCTCGGCTGAGGGGTCAGAGTTCGCGCTCCCCTTGCCTTCGCTGATCGCTGGCGCCTCGGGCCAAATCCACCCGCTCCGAGACCCGCTCCGCTTTCTAGGAATCTCCCAGACCTGGTGCCACCTGTTGCCGTTTCTCCCACTAAGCCTTCCAGATCTTTGGCACAGCTTTCTTTGAGCTCTTCCTCCCCGCTGCGGCGTGACGTGGGCCTGCTAGGAGGGTTGCTCAGATTTCTAACGCCTGGAAGAACTCTCCGTGCGTGGAAAGCTGGAGGGAGGAGAGAGGACTTCACCTGGGAAGGAGGAGAAAGGTTTTGAGGGGAGGCACAGTTATTTATGTAGACCTTGAAAGGCAAGAAGACTGGGGCCCCTGGCCCTGGAAGGGGAGGTGGGGCTCCCAGTAGAGGGGACTGAGATCTTCATAAACAATGAGGGACCAGAGCAGAGGGAAGGAGGACGAGATTCCAGCCTCCAGTTCCAAACAAGGCACCTGTGATTTCTCCTCCCCTGGGCAGCGACTGCCAGGCGCCTTTCTGCGCACACCTGGGACTTGCAGTGTTATCATGTGCCCAGGGATTTTCCCGGAGGGATTGTGAAGTAGCAGGTAAGGTCATCAGGCAGGTTGGGGTCAGATGCAGATGTTCGCTTGTGGTCATGCCTGAAATGAGAGTCTGGCAGCTCACGTCATTTCAGAAGGTGCTGGGATCACTTTAGACAGTGATATCAAAAAATTGATGGTGTTCTGGGGACGCTGTGTGAAAAATGAAATGTTCTTGCAATCTGGAGGCACTACTGGGACCAGATTAATTTTTGTTTCCTTAATTTTCCACTTTCCTGAAAAATTTCGAGCCTGCCGAACAGTTGAGAGAACAGTACAACAAATACCCATGTACTCTTTACTTAGATTCAGTAATGTTTTGGTTTTTCGGGTTTCTCTTTCCATATATATCTAATCACATGTATTAAATATAACACTTAGATGTATGTTACATGTCCCATTTCAACTCTGGAGTTATTCAGTAGGAAGTTGCAGAAGTCATAACACTTACTTGATGCCTGGTAATCTTAGCATATATCTTCTAAAAACCATTTTCTATCATCCACAAAACCATATCACATCCAAGAAATTGAACATGATAGAATAATGTTATCTAACGTATGGGCCTTGTTTAAATTTCCCCAATTGTCCACATAGATTTTTTTCCCTTAAAAAAAATATATATATGTTCCATGATCTAAGGTTCACACATTACATTAAGTTGTCCCATCTCTTTAGTTTCATTTAGCTGAAGCAACTCCTTCCTTGTGTGAATTTTTTTGAGATGAACATTATGGAAGAGTCCATGTGAATTGTTTTATAGACTGTTTTACAATCTAGGTTCATTAGATTTTCTTCATGATTAGATGTAGATTAAACATTTTTGGTCAGAAAGCCACCTAGCTAGGTGATGTCCACTCACCAGTACATCACATCAAGAGACATTGAATGTCAGCCCGGCACGGTGGCTCACACCTGAAATCCCAGCACTTTGGGAGGCTGAGGCAGGCGTATTACCTGAGGTCAGGAGTTCAAGACCAGCCTTGACTCTACTAAAAATACAAAAACTAGGCGTAGCAATGTGTACCTGTAATCCCAGCTACTTGGGAGGCTGAGGCACGAGAATCTCTTGAACCTAGGAGGCAGATGTTGCAGTGAGCCAAGATTGTGCCGTTGCAGTGAGCCAAGATTGTGCCATTGCACTTCAGTCTGGGTGAGAGAGCGAGACTTCGTCTCAACAAAAAAAGAGACATTTAATGTCAGTTTGTATCTTCATTGATAGTACTACTAAGTTTGATCATTTGGTGAAGATGGTGTCTGTGAAAACTCTACTGTAAGGGTATCCGCATCCTTTCTTACTACTAAGTCTGCTTAACGGGAGTGGCATTCATTGTCCTGAATCTGGTGTATTGCTATTTTGGCCCCACAGAAAAGGTTACTTGCAGTTTATGCCAACTCATTATGGCAGAATCATTATTCTGAAGTATTCTGACGTATTTATGTATATGAGGAAGCACTGAATTGATTTTTTCTTTATTACCTGTATTTGCAGTTTAGCCATTTACCTAGGGAGGGTTAAGTAGATATCTAAATGACTAAATCGGCTGGTTGCGGTGGCTCACACCTGTAATCCCAGCACTTTGGGAGGCCAAAGCGGGCGGATCATCTGAGGTCAGGAGTTCGAGACTAACCTGGCCAACATGGTGACACCCCATCTCTACTAAAAATACAAAAATTTGCGGAGCGTGGTGGTGCATACCTGTAATTCTAGCTACTCAGGAGGCTGAGGCAGGAGAATAGCTTGAACCTGAGAGGGGAAGATTGCAGTGAGCCGACATCATGCCACTGCACTCCAACCTGGGCTACAGAGTGAGACTCTGTTTCAAAAATAAATAATTATAAGTAAATGGCTAAACTACAAATGCAGTTAAAATTTTTTCCTTTACTGTTGTCATTTTTAACAAATCTCAAAACCGAGAAACTGAGATCTTTATCTTGTATCAGGAATGACGTTCATCTTCGGAAGATACAGATTTCACTAAATCAGTGTCAAATTAGATCTTATTAAAATAATTAAAAACCCAGTAATGTTTTTGTGTTGTCCTTGCGGAAGTCAAGACTGGTCACACTTGAACCAGTCATTTATTCATTCACTCAAAAAATACTTGCTCCGTGTTAATTGTGTGCCTGTTGTTTTCTAGGCAAGATGCCATAGTAACAAAACAAGCCCCTTCCCATGTGGAACTTTCATTCAAATGGGGAGAGAGAAAACAAACAAAACAGCTGGTGGTGAGGGGCCTAGGAAGGGGGCAGGGCCTGTGTGGCTCAGGTGGAATGCTGTTTGCTGTAAAGTGATGGGGAGGCCCTGGATGGTGATGATATTGGAGTCAAAATCTGAAGAAAGTGAGTAGTGAGCTAATGAGCCAACAGCTACTGGAGGAAGAGCAAGTGTTCTAGGCCAGGGAGCAGCAGATTCAGAGGCCCTGGAACAGGAGCTTGCAGAAGAAACACTGAGGAGCCCAGGGTGCCTGGAGGGACTATGTGGACAAGGTGGAGAGAAGAAGGGGAGGGCAGATCCTGGAGGGCCCTACTGGGGAGTTTGGAGCAGAGATGGGATGATTCTGACTTTTTAAAAAAGTGTACAATCCAGTGGTTTTTAGTATTTTTACAGAGTTATACAACTATCACAATTAGTTTGAGAATATTTGCATCATCTTGAGAAGAAACCTTCTTTGTACAAAGAAGAAACTTAGGAAATAATGGCTTTGCATGGAGAATAGATAGAAGGCCCCATCAGGACGGACAGGGTCTGGTCAGGCTAGGACTGAGGTGAGGCAGGCCAGGGGCACACCCAGGAACCAGGGAGGAGCAGGCAGGCAGTATCCAGAGATAAGTGGTTGACTACAGTTGGTAGTTCAGTGGGCACGTCCTCTTGTTAGGAAGAAGTGGAGGGGACAGTTGGACCTCCAGGCAGGGAGGTGGGATTTGGCAAGAGAGGAGCCTCCCAGTGCACAACGTGCAGAGCTGTAGGCTGATGGGTGATTAGTATCAAGATAGCCCAACTTTAGCTTGGAGTTGCAGGACTACATAGACTCTTTTTTTTTTTTTTTTTTGAGACAGAGTTCAGCTCTGTCGCCCAGGCTGGAGCGCAATGGTGTGATCTTGGCCTACTACAATCTCTGCCTTGCAGGATCAAGTGATTGTCCTGCCTCAGCCTCCCGAGTAGCTGGGATTACAGGCTGGCGCCACCACACCCAGCCAATTTTTGTACTTGTAGCAGAGACGGGGTTTCACCATGTTGGCCAGGCTGGTCTTGAACTCCTGACCTGAGGTGGTCCACCTACCTCGGCCTCCTAAAGTGCTGGGATTACAGGCGTGAGCCACTGAGCCCTGCCCAGACTGCATAAGACTCTTAATCCCGAGGAGGACTCATGTGGTCTGCTTAGAACCCCAGAGGAACTGGCTGTGTTGACCCAGTTGTTCGCTGGAACACAAGATGAGAGTGGGGCCAGCTGGAAGGAGGGCTGAGTGCTGAGCCTCACGCTGCCCACTTGGCTCAGGTTCTTTCCATTGCTGCCATTTGGAGCCAGGTTGGTCTTGAGGCCTTGGTTGGAAGTTAGGTGACTCTGCTGTGAAGGTTAGAGGCCAGGGAGCCGGCCATTATAGACCCCTTTTGTTAATACAGAGTCCACTAGAGGATTCTGCTGTTTGTTCTCTTTCACTGCAATATCTCTCTGAATATCTATCTTAAAGATATGTCTGTCTAGGCCGGGCACAGTGACTCACGCCTGTAATCACAGCACTTTGGGAGACCAAGGCAGGTGAATCACCTGAGGTCAGGAGTTCAAGACCAGCCTGGCCAATATGGTGAAACCCTATCTCTACTAAAAATGCAAAAATTAGCTGGACGTGGTGGCGCGCACCTGTAGTCCCAGCTACTTGGGAGGCTGAGGTAGAATAATCGCTTGAACCCGGGAGGCGGAGGTTGCAGTGAGCTGATATCATGCCACTGCACTCCAGTCTGGACAAGAGAGTGAGACTCCATCTCAAAAAAAAAAAAAAAAGATATATCTGT